ACATATGTAAGACCAATCCTGGAGTATGCGGCCCCAGCATGGAGCTCGTACCTTGTCCAGCACAACGCGAAACTAGAAAAAGTTCAGAGGTATGCCACTAGGCTAGTCCCAGAACTAAGAGGCATGAGTTACGAGGAAAGGCTGCGGAAAATGCACCTCACGACACTGGAAGACAGAAGAGTAAGGGGAGACATGATCACAACCTACAAAATTCTCAGAGGAATTGACCGGGTAGATAAAGATAAACTGTTTAACACGGGTGATACGCGAACAAGGGGACACAGGTGGAAACTGAGTACCCAAATGAGCCACAGGGACGTTAGAAAGAACTTTTTCAGTGTCAGAGTAGTTAACAGATGGAATGCACTAGGAAGCGATGTGGTGGAGACTGACTCCAAACACAGTTTCAAGTGTAGATATGATAGAGCCCAGTAGGCTCAGGAATCTGTACACCAGTTGATTGACAGTTGAGAGACGGGACCAAAGAGCCAAAGCTCAACCCCCGCAAGCACAACTAGGTAAGTACACACACATACACACACATATAGTCAGAGTAAACAGCCTCATCCTTGCTTGTTACAGCCAATTACCTCCCCCCCCCCCTCCATAACATTACCAACAATCGTAGTTTATTACACTGGAGGATAATAAAGGTTATACCTATGCACATTATCCATTTAAAGTAGCTTGTCTGTGTTTCCGTCAAGAGCGTATCACAGGAGGCGCGAAAACTGTGTGTATTATACTCAAGAACCGCGAATACAAGACAGGCTCTTACAAGACTACACTTCCGACGGCCTCGTGTATGTGTGTGTGTGTGTGTGTGTGTGTGTGACAGCGTTGCTGAGTTGCTGAGGCCAGCATATTTGATGCTGAACTGAAGCTATCACTTTGTGATTATATATATATATATATATATATATATATATATATATATATATATATATATATATATATATATATATATATATAATCAGAATCTGCAGAAACACGATTCAGAAAATGTTATTACAGTTCCAGAATGTGTAGTTGAACAAGCCGCCGTGGTAGTGCGGAGCGCGTTCGCCCTCAACAGCAATAAAGATGTGATAATGGAAAGAGTTTAGACAATTTAGTTCCTGGTGCACGTGAGCGGATTCTCTGCGGGAAGCGACGTCTCCTCATGTTTAAATTTTCCACGAACGTTTAGTTTATTGGGCAGCGTCACTCATACTGTGAGTGAACATACCGCTAGTGACAGTACTGGGCAGCGTCACTCATACTGTGAGTGAATACACCGCCAGTGGCAGTACTGGGCAGCGTCACTAATACTGTGAGTGAACATACCGCTAGTGACAGTACTGGGCAGCGTCACTCATACTGTGAGTGAACATACCGCTAGTGGCAGTACTGGGCAGCGTCACTAATACTGTGAGTGAACATACCGCTAGTGGCAGTACTGGGCAGCGTCACTAATACTGTGAGTGAACATACCGCTAGTGGCAGTACTGGGCAGCGTCACTCATACTGTGAGTGAACATACCGCTAGTGGCAGTACTGGGCAGCGTCACTAATACTGTGAGTGAACATACCGCTAGTGGCAGTACTGGGCAGCGTCACTAATACTGTGAGTGAACATACCGCTAGTGGCAGTACTGGGCAGCGTCACTAATACTGTGAGTGAACATACCGCTAGTGGCAGTACTGGGCAGCGTCACTAATACTGTGAGTGAACATACCGCTAGTGACAGTACTGGGCAGCGTCACTAATACTGTGAGTGAACATACCGCTAGTGGCAGTACTGGGCAGCGTCACTAATACTGTGAGTGAACATACCGCTAGTGGCAGTACTGGGCAGCGTCACTCATACTGTGAGTGAATACACCGCCACAGTGGCAGTACTGGGCAGCGTCACTCATACTGTGAGTGAACACACCGCCACAGTGGCAGTACTGGGCAGCGTCACTCATACTGTGAGTGAATACACTGCCACAGTGGCAGTACTGGGCAGCGTCACTCATACTGTGAGTGAACACACCGCCACAGTGGCAGTACTGGGCAGCGTCACTCATACTGTGAGTGAACACACCGCTAGTGACAGTACTGGGCAGCGTCACTCATACTGTGAGTGAATACACCGCCACAGTGGCAGTACTGGGCAGCGTCACTCATACTGTGAGTGAATACACTGCCACAGTGGCAGTACTGGGCAGCGTCACTCATACTGTGAGTGAACACACCGCCACAGTGGCAGTACTGGGCAGCGTCACTCATACTGTGAGTGAACACACCGCCAGTGGCAGTACTGGGCAGCGTCACTCATACTGTGAGTGAACACACCGCCACAGTGGCAGTACTGGGCAGCGTCACTCATACTGTGAGTGAACACACCGACAGTGGCAGTACTGGGCAGCGTCACTCATACTGTGAGTGAACACACCGCCAATGGCAGTACTGGGCAGCGTTACTCATACTGTGAGTGAACACACCGCCAGTGGCAGTACTGGGCAGCGTCACTCATACTGTGAGTGAACACACCGCCAGTGGCAGTACTGGGCAGCGTCACTCATACTGTGAGTGAACACACCGCCAGTGGCAGTACTGGGCAGCGTCACTCATACTGTGAGTGAACACTCTAAGGTTGCTGTATGTACACCACTCCCCAATAGGAAGAAAACCCGTTGTTCATGCTGTCACTTGTACCCAGACACAGCTGCGCCCACGGATCCCACACACCTGTTGCAAGCATGTCTCCTTCAACAACTAGGCCTACCACTAACACACGTGCTACCCTAACGTCTGTTGAAGTCATCAGATAGTTCTTCCCTAAAATTCCAAATGATAATTTTAGAAAAGCACAACCTTAGAAAATAAATACATTAGACTTTGAATGCAAAAAAAAGTTTTCAAATCATTGTACTAGTGAATGAAACTTTACGATCCAGGACGGATCGAAACTTCTCTTTTTTCGTTTTCTGATGTGCGGTTTGGCCATCTTAATTAATAAGTCTTTTCAAACCCTCAAATTGGTGTTTTAAAAGAAATTAAATAAACTTATTGGCAACTGTGATTTATACAAACTGCAGGCGATGAGTCACAATAACGTGGCTGAAGTATGTTGACCAGACCACACACTAGAAATTGAAGGGACGACGACGTTTCGGTCCGTCCTGGACCATTCTCAAGTCGATTGTTATACAAACTGTTTAAGATTTGGTTAAATGTTGAGGATAAAATCTTTGATACAAAGTGTGTTCTCGAGTGTGGTGATATTTGGCCTTTGACACTTTGTTATCTTTGTATTAAACTATTATTTAAACCATTAACAGATTGATAATGGTGATGTTCTAAAATAGTTTGAGAAAAAAAAACTCTGTATAGCCTAGGCTGACCAATTATTTAAAGCCTAATCAACTTATGCCGTTAACTTCAGTACTGAAGTTAACGGCAAAATCAATCTGGACAGTAAAAATCTTTAAAAGAACATTACATAACTCTTACAATCGCAAGAAATGCCAAACCACTAAAGAGCTGTGACGGACATCTTAACAAGACGTGTTGAGAGACAGTGTTGAGAGTGAGAGGTTCGCTTGGCCGCCCCTGTCAGTCACCGCTCCCACTACTCTTTATGCGCCTTACAAACTTAACACCATATTTATGCTTCGTATTTAAATTGGCTGCATAGAAATATTCCTAAAGTTGATAAATGGCGATAAACTAGTGCAAATAAATTATAAGTAAAGTTTTTACCCGTTTAATTAAAATTCAGTTGAATAAATGATAAAATTGTAGAGACATTTGACAAGCAGCCGGCTTCCTGTCCCCGTAGAGGTCATTAGAGGTGATGGCCCTCTAATAAATACTGGTAAATTAAAAAAAATCAGAATGGTTTTCACAAATAACAAAAAAAAAAGTTTTAATTCGAAGAATTTCGCTGAACGATTCCACATTAGATATTTGCTACTTGGAAGACCATCCAGAGATCACACAAGACATTTTGCAACCCTCTTTTTGACGTGTTGAGATATTTGTTGGGTTTCTGTAATTGTCCTCAACAAGGCTTCCACGTAATCGTCGCGATTACTGAATATATTGAGAGAAGTTTTTTTTTATTATTATTTTCTACCACAGACGTGGCCAGACATTTACAATGCTAACCAGCATATATACATTTTCTTGTCCTCCATGGATAGGGTTAGAAATCAGTTAAACATATAGTTCAAGGGATTTATTGAACAATCAACCACAGAAGGTGATTCGGTACTTTTAAAATGCTAAGCTAACCTACATACGTAAATACATAGATACACAGATTTACGTATGCCCTACATAGTGACCGAAGTGTCATTAATGTGCATTTACAAAGCTGAAATGCAATTCTGATCAGCTTCCATATGTACTTTATACACATACATAGAAGTAGTTGTGTCAGGCACACTGGCCCAAGATAATGTGTTATATCCACGTGGGTAAAGCGAGGCTTTTGAACTCTACGAAGATTAACTTAATTTAAAGCCTCTCGGTACTATTTATATATTTATCAATCTGTAAATATAATATTGAAGCTATTACCAGAATAATGCAGTATCCAGCAGAACTGAAAATATTATTACAAAGGTTTCAATGAATGAAAGTCAAACGAGGTGTTTGGATTTTACATGTTTCACAAATACATGTGGAAAAAACTAATTTAATCACTCCATGAACTGAGTAGGCCTACCACGAGTGTAGTAGGTGCCGCGTCGTGAGTAGGCCTATCAGCAGTACAGTATGTGCCGCGTCACGATAGGCCTATCACAAAGACCTTAAAGAGATTTGAAAATTGGAAACAAAGAAGCCGTGGAGGAGTGACACCTGTGCTTACTATAGGTGTATTTTAATGTTCCATTCTTATCTTGATCTAAATGTCCCCTCCCCCCAACTTGGGGAGTATTATAACTCCCAGTGAACACACTAGCAATATGAATTGAACTAACACAAAAATGCGAGTTCAGTTGAACGAATGGACCTTTGGACTTACCTTCGATGATATGTTAATGTTCATCTGAACTTCAAGAGCGAAGCTATTAATTGTCAAGAATAAACTTGCTGGGATGATGTAGACGCAAGCGATCACTGGATATTCATTAGAGTCCCGCCTTGCAGACGTTCACTAAGACACCTCAACACTCGAGAGCTGGGAGTGGAGTGGGAGGTGAGGCCGGAGATATACAAGTCCTTGGCACCGACGGCTGGGCTGGAATGAACGTCCGACCGGCTACGAGTCTGGCGTCTGACTGACTGACTGTGGCGACGGCTCTCACTCCCACCCCACATAGGCCAGGCCTCGCCGCACATGTGGGGCCTACAGCCACCCCCTCCATCACCACACTCCCCCCTTTACCGTCTCTAACACCCCCCCAACCCCCACTCTGCACCCCACTTTACAACCCCCCCCTCCCTTTACGTCTCCGTAGAATCCTGTCTACTACCCTCTTGCCTCTACGTAGAATCTTACCGACAATCTCCTTGCGTCTGCTTAGAATCTTCTCTACCACCCCCTTAATACCTCGGGTTTAACACATGTAGAGCATAATGAGAGCGTGTTGGTAAAGGTTACAGAGAGTGGTCACTACCACGCAGGTCGCGCGCATTACTCGTTCATCATGGACTGACAGTTCCATTAACCTGTCGAACTGCTAGAATTGACGAATTTACATACGAGTCGCTCTTCACTTCCGCGATGACTTTCACGAAGAATAAAAATTCAATTTTTTTACCAGCTTTATTCTCATCTTCACACACACACACAAGTACCTTGTATATACTTGTTGCTGGTTTCTGGGATCAATGTCCCAGCGTTCCTGTCTATGACCAGGCCTCCTCGATGGTGGTCGGATCAACCAGCCTATTAGACGGGGGGTACACGCACAAGAGGATACAGATGGAAGATGAGTACCCAAATGAGCCACAGAGACATTAGAAAGAACCTTTTCAGTGTCAGAGTAGTTAGTAAATGGAATGTACTAGGAAGTGATGTGGTGGAGGCTGACTCCATACATAGTTTCAAATGTAGATATGATAGAGCTCGAGAAGCTCAGGAATCTGTACACCGGTAGATTAACGGTTGAGAGGCGGGACCACAGAGCCGAAGCTCAGCCGCCCACCCCCCCCCCCCCCCCACACACACACACACACACAACTAGGTGAGTACGTTGCTGGTGACAGGTTGACGTAAGAATCACAGCCCGGAGGCTCAGATATCCTCTGGAAGTGTTTATTAAGTTCTCTTTTGAACACCATGAGAGGTCAAGTGGGTGCATGTGATGGTTATGTTCAGAGAGAGGAGTGAACATGCGCGCTCTAATATACGTGTACACGGATTGTATTCCACTAAGATTTACTGCTACAGTATTAACCGTTGCCAGTGTTGTGTGCGTGGGAACATATTCAAGTGACTATAACAATAGTTCAGGGCGGATGTGCACCTCGACCAGGTGTAACTTGGGTTACGCGCCTTCAACTTTCCATCTATAGTATATGTGGGCGGTACAAGGCATTGCCTGCCCCAGTAGCCTAGGGTGCGTGCGCCCGGGTCGGGGTAGCGGCCTCCGTCGCCCTCACGAGCCTCTGGGTCACATCAATGAATCAACCCCCAATCTTGGCTCATAGTCGCCAAGATTACAAATTACACAGAATTACTGTAACTGTACCGCATGTATCTATAAACTTTCGCATGTAACATTATTGTCTAGAAGATATTAAGAGCCTAGTCGAATACTTCAAAGGATCGAATGACTCAAGACTTAACGCTAAATAGTTTCCTCGGGTGAACAAGTCTCTTCACGCTTGTTTTCCCAACTGCTTGTTCTAAACTGCATTTTTTGGTTAAGACAACGATGTAAAAATAGTTTTATTTACCGATATTGTAAACAGTGAGAGAACGAGATGAGTTGTGCAGTTGGCGAAAACCGTTAGTTCTTGTTAGGGTGCGGGGGTTAAAAATTGATAAAAGGCATTCACGCGAAACGGTACATGTAAGACTGTTTACACCAGAAGGTACACGGTACACACCAGAAGGTACACGGTACACACCAGAAGGTACACGGTACACACCAGAAGGTACACGGTACACACCAGAATGTACACGGTACACACCAGGAGCTATGCGGGCACCTTAAGGTACACGCTACACTCCAGACGTTGCACTTGAGATAAATAAGAGTTGATCTCCGAGTCTTCTGGACCCGGAGGCTGCCCTCTCATCCCAAATCCTTCACCCCATAAGGTTATCAAGGACAGAACCATCGCGCCGGTTATCAATGATGCAACTACTGCTCCGGTTAAGTTATCAACGACTCGACAACCGTTCTTCCAAGATGGATAGGAAACATCGTAGATGCTCACAAAAATGCCCACTACGGGCTCACCATAGCCCGTGCTGCTTGGAACTTTTTGTTCCAAGCAGCGAATCTTAAACAACAACACAAAAATGTCTAAAATACTTTAATAATTGATGGTGATTGTGTGTGAAGGTGCGCAGGCGCGGTGCACAGGCGCGTCCGTCACCGCAGATACACGTCTTTTGTTGGTCTTGGTGTCCGGACACATCTGGCTGGTCTTGGTGTCCGGACACCTCTGGCTGGTCTTGGTGTCCGGACACATCTGGCTGGTCTTGGTGTCCGGACACATCTGGCTGGTCTTGGTGTCCGGACACATCTGGCTGGTCTTGTGTCCGGACACATCTGGCTGGTCTTGGTGTCCGGACACATCTGGCTGGTCTTGTGTCCGGACACATCTGGCTGGTCTTGGTGTCCGGACACATCTGGCTGGTCTTGTGTCCGGACACATCTGGCTGGTCTTGTGTCCGGACACATCTGGCTGGTCTTGGTGTCCGGACACATCTGGCTGGTCTTGTGTGCGGACACATCTGGCTGGTCTTGGTGTCCGGACACCTCTGGTTGGTCTTTGTGTCCGGACACATCTGGCTGGTCTTGGTGTCCGGACACATCTGGCTGGTCTTGGTGTCCGGACACCTCTGGCTGGTCTTGGTGTCCGGACACATCTGGCTGGTCTTGGTGTCCGGACACATCTGGCTGGTCTTGGTGTCCGGACACATCTGGCTGGTCTTGGTGTCCGGACACCTCTGGCTGGTCTTGGTGTCCGGACACATCTGGCTGGTCTTGGTGTCCGGACACATCTGGCTGGTCTTGGTGTCCGGACACATCTGGCTGGTCTTGGTGTCCGGACACATCTGGCTGGTCTTGTGTCCGGACACATCTGGCTGGTCTTGGTGTCCGGACACATCTGGCTGGTCTTGTGTCCGGACACATCTGGCTGGTCTTGGTGTCCGGACACATCTGGCTGGTCTTGGTGTCCGGACACATCTGGCTGGTCTTGGTGTCCGGACACATCTGGCTGATCTTGGTGTCCGGACATATATAGACAGCCTCAGCCTCTCCCTACATGCAAGCAGCTCCATGTTTCAAGAGCAGCTTGTGTGTGTGTGTGTGTGTGTGTGTGTGTGTGTGTGTGTGTGTGTGTGTGTGTGTGTGTGTGTGTGTTTGTGTGTGTGTGTGTGTGTTTGTGTGTGTGTGTGTGTGTGTGTGTGTGTGTGTGTGTGTGTGTGTGTGTGTGTGTGTGTGTGTGTGTGTGTGTGTGTGTGTGTGTGTGTGTGTGTGTGTGTGTGTATGTGTGTGTGTGTTTGTGTGTGTGTGTGTGTGTGTGTGTGTGTGTGTGTGTGTGTGTGTGTGTGTGTGTGTGTGTGTGTGTGTGTGTATGTATGTATGTATGTATGTATGTGTGTGTGTGTGTGTGTGTGTGTGTGTGTGTGTACTTACCTAATTGCCTAATTGTACTTACCTAATTGTGCTTGCGGGGGTTGAGCTCTGGCTCTTTGGTCCCGCCTCTCAACCGTCAATCAACTGGTGTACAGATTCCTGAGCCTATTGGGCTCTATCATATCTACATTTGAAACTGTGAATGGAGTCAGCCTCCACCACATCACTTCCTAATGCATTCCATTTGCTAACTACTCTGACACTGAAAAAGTTCTTTCTAACGTCTCTGTGGCTCATTTGGGTACTCAGCTTCCACCTGTGTCCCCTTGTTCGCGTCCCACCAGTGTTGAAAAGTTCGTCCTTGTTTACCCGGTCGATACCCCTGAGGATTTTGTAGGTTGTGATCATGTCCCCCCTTACTCTTCTGTCTTCCAGTGTCGTGAGGTGCATTTCCCGCAGCCTTTCCTCATAACTCATGCCTCTTAGTTCTGGGACTAGTCTAGTAGCATACCTTTGGACTTTTTCCAGCTTCGTCTTGTGCTTGACAAGGTACGGGCTCCATGCTGGGGCCGCATACTCCAGGATTGGTCTTACATATGTGGTGTACAAGATTCTGAATGATTCCTTACACAGGTTCCTGAACGCCGTTCTGATGTTAGCCAGCCTCGCATATGCCGCAGACGTTATTCTCTTTATGTGGGCTTCAGGAGACAGGTTTGGTGTGATATCAACTCCTAGATCTTTCTCTCTGTCTGTTTCATTAAGTACTTCATCTCCTATTCTGTATCCTGTGCCTGGCCTCCTGTTTCCACTGCCTAGTTTCATTACTTTGCATTTACTCGGGTTGAACTTCAACAGCCATTTGTTGGACCATTCACTCAGTCTATCCAGGTCATCTTGTAGCCTCCTACTATCATCCTCTGTTTCAATCCTCCTCATAATTTTTGCATCGTCGGCAAACATTGAGAGGAACGAATCTATACCCTCTGGGAGATCATTTACATATACCAGAAACAGTATAGGTCCAAGGACTGACCCCTGCGGGACTCCACTTGTGACGTCTCGCCAATCTGAGACCTCACCCCTCACACAGACTCGTTGTCTCCTGTTGCTTAGGTATTCCTCTATCCACCGGAGTACCTTCCCTCTCACTCCAGCCTGCATCTCCAACTTTCGCACTAGCCTCTTGTGGGGCACTGTATCAAAGGCTTTCTGACAATCCAAAAATATGCAGTCTGCCCACCCTTCTCTTTCTTGCCTTATTTTTGTTGCCTGGTCGTAGAATTCAAGTAACCCTGTGAGGCAGGACCTGCCATCCCTGAACCCATGTTGATGCTGTGTTACAAAGTTCCTTCGCTCCAGATGCTCCACTAGTTTTTTTCGCACAATCTTCTCCATCAGCTTGCATGGTATGCAGGTTAGGGACACTGGCCTGTAGTTCAGTGCCTCCTGTCTATCCCCTTTCTTGTATATCGGGACTACGTTAGCTGCTTTCCAAGTATCTGGCAGTTCCCCTGTTGCCAGTGATTTGTTATACACTATGGAGAGTGGTAGGCTCAGTTCTCTTGCTCCTTCCTTTAGAACCCAAGGGGAGATTCCATCTGGGCCTATAGCCTTCGTCACGTCCAACTCTAGTAAACACTTCCTTACTTCCCCACTGGTAATCTCAAACTCTTCCAGTGGTTCCTGGTTAGCTATTCCCTCACTTACCTCTGGAATTTCTCCTTGTTCTAATGTGAAGACCTCCTGGAATTTCTTATTCAATTCCTCACACACTTCCTTGTCATTTGTAGTGAATCCTTCCGCCCCTATCCTTAATCTCATAACCTGTTCCTTTACTGTTGTTTTTCTCCTAATGTGGCTATGCAACAATTTAGGCTGAGTCTTTGCCTTGCTTGCGATGTCATTTTCGTATTGTCTTTCTGCCTCTCTTCTCATCCTGACATATTCATTCCTGGCATTCTGGTATCTTTCTCTGCTCTCCAGTGTCCTGTTATTCCTATAGTTTCTCCATGCCCTTTTACTTTGCTGCTTAGCTAGCCTACATCTTTGATTAAACCATGGGTTTCTCATCTTCATTTCTCCGTTTTCCTTTTGGACTGGGACAAACTTGTTTGCTGCGTCCTTGCACTTCTGCGTGATGTAATCCATCATATCTTGGGCCGTCTTTCCCCTGAGCTCTGTTTCCCATGCTATATCTGTTAGGAATTTTCTTATCCCCTCATAGTTTCCCTTTCGGTATGATAACCTTTTGGTTTCGGTATCCCTCCTCGAGTTCAATAACCCTTCTTCAATCAAGTACTCAAACACCAGTACACTGTGGTCGCTCATTCCTACTGGGTCCTCAAAACCGATTTCTCTTATGTCGGAGTCGTTCAGAGTGAAGACTAGGTCGAGTCTCGCTGGTTCGTCATTGCCTCTCATCCTTGTGGGTTCTCCGACATGCTGCGTTAAAAAGTTGCTTGTCACCACCTCCAATAGTTTGGCTCTCCACGTATCCTCGCCTCCATGCGGTTCCTTGTTCTCCCAGTCAATCTTTCCGTGATTGAAGTCGCCCATGATGAGCAGGTGGGATCTATTTCTACAGGCAGCAGAGGCTGCCCTCTCAATTATAGTGTTAACTGCCTTGTTGTTGTTTTCATACTCTTGACTGGGTCTCCTGTCATTTGGTGGAGGGTTGTATATTACTGCTACTACTATTCTTGGTCCTCCCATTGTTATGGTGCCTGCTATGTAGTCTCTGAACTCCTCACAGCCCGGGATGGCCATCTCCTTAAAACTCCATTCCCTTCTCATGAGTAGGGCCACTCCGCCTCCTCCTCTACCTTCCCTCTCTTTCCTTATTACTGTATACTCCTGGGGAAACACGGCATTCGTTATGATTCCAGAGAGTTTTGTTTCAGTGAGTCCGATTACATCTGGGTTAACTTCTTGTGCTCTTTCCCTTAGTGTGTGTGTGTGTGTGTGTGTGTGTGTGTGTGTGTGTGTGCGGATGCGCGCGCGCGCGTGTAGGAGAGCGCGAGGATGGCCGCAGAGCGAATCTCTGTAAGAAAGAAGCCTCGTTATAGCGTCCATCTAACACTAAGAGTATGGTGGATGCGGCAGCTGTCTCCCTCGCTGAGTGGCCACGAGCAGCTACTTCAGCTGTCACTCGAGCAGTAACTTGAGCACTCTCAGCCGCTCAGAAATGTTTAAAATCAGGTATCATTCATGTTTTCATTAATCTCTTACTTATCTATGATATTTATAATTATTGCAAGGAGCAATGTAGTTAAGAGGCGTGTCAAGGTGCACGGGGTGACGGCGTGCTCACCCGCCTCCTCCGCACCCCAGAAGTCGACCCCAGTCACGCGGCTCAAAATTCTCCTGGAGTATAGGAGCGACTGAGGGCTGAGGGTAATTACCTAAGTCTACTTACAGGATGAGAGCCACGCTCGTGGTGTCCCGTCTTCCCAGCACTCTTTGTCATATAACGCAGTAGTTTCAAAGCGTTATATGACAAAGAGTGCTGGGAAGACGGGACACCACGAGCGTAGCTCTCATCCTGTAACTACACTTCGGTAATCACCCTCAGCCCTCAGTCGCTCCTATACTCCAGGAGAATTTTGAGCCGGGCTGACTGGGGTGGACTTCTCACCCTCCCGGTGTGTGAGTGGCTTTGTAGTCTCCCGCTGTCCGTGGACGTGACACGGCTAAGTAGGAGAAGTCTATTGTTTGTAGAGCGTTGACACGGGCCAAGTGCAGGACCTGGAATGATTAGGTATAACAACAGCGACGCAGGCTGCAACAACAACAACAGCAGCAGTAGGCAGCATCCATCACTGAGTCTCGACAGACATTGTTTCCTTGTAAAATGACCGTTATTTCTCTTAGGGGCCGCGGTAAAATTCTTCGGGGAGAGGAAGGGAGGAAGTCGACTGCCAGCCGCGAAATTCAGTTGGCGGACAGAAGGAAGTGAGGGGCTGGGGGCCTGGGGAGGGGGGGGGGCTATAGAAGTCAGCAAAGCGGCGGTGGTTATTGGCTTAAATTGTGGCGCCCGAGGTCTGACGGTGGAGCTGGGTCTACTGGAGCAGCCCGGGGTCTGACGGTGGAGCTGGGTCTACTGGAGCAGCCCCTGGTCTGACGGTGGAGCTGGGTCTACTGGAGCAGCCCCTGGTCTGACGGTGGAGCTGGGTCTACTGGAGCAGCCCCTGGTCTGACGGTGGAGCTGGGTCTACTGGAGCAGCCCCTGGTCTGACGGTGGAGCTGGGTCTACTGGAGCAGCCCGCGGTCTGACGGTGGAGCTGGGTCTACTGGAGCAGCCCCTGGTCTGACGGCGGAGCTGGGTCTACTGGAGCAGCCCGGGGTCTGACGGTGGAGCTGGGTCTACTGGAGCAGCCCGGGGTCTGACGGTGGAGCTGGGTCTACTGGAGCAGCCCGGGGTCTGACGGTGGAGCTGGGTCTACTGGAGCAGCCCGGGGTCTGACGGTGGAGCTGGGTCTACTGGAACAGCCCGGGGTCTGACGGTGGAGCTGGGTCTACTGGAGCAGCCCCTGGTCTGACGGAGGAGCTGGGTCTACTGGAACAGCCCGGGGTCTGACGGTGGAGCTGGGTCTACTGGAGCAGCCCGGGTCTGACGGAGGAGCTGGGTCTAC